CGTTCATTTTAGTATTGCCCGAGTAGCTCCAGAGGTAGCTAGCTAAGGGTTCCTTATTTAATTACCAATTGATTAATTTTCTTATACATTATTTTGGAGGCCTTGGTTGTTGAGGGGGGAGTTTATAAATCAAGAGTCGACATTAAGGTCCACAAAAGTCAAAACGCCAGGGACTTTGCCTCAAAATGGTGAGATTCTCGGGCAAGAACATGTTTTTGATGTATCTTTCAGTCGAATGTCTTTGTCAACGTGAGATTACTTCAATTTCGCTTTCGATCCAAGATCCAGAAGTCCGAGCGCTTCACTTGGCATTTTCCAAGCCGTCCGGGGCTTCGAGAGGCAAAATAGGAATTCGGAACCTAAAGACTGGCACTTTACATTCGGAACGTTTGCGTGTTGCATCCGTGAAGAAAAGAGTGTTGCGCGCTTGACTTCGTTCTATCCGTTTTACAGCTTTTTCCAAACATACTTCCACTTTGATTGCATTTCTGAATGTTTCCGGTTTCGGTCACTTTCTAACACAGCTTTTCCAGTCTATCAGTCTACTACTCGTCACTTCTCTCACATTTTTCACCTTTCTCACAATCGACGCTGGCGTGTTTCAGAAGTTTACGATCTTTCTCATAGCCGTGACTTGCTCGATTTTCAACGCTCCCCATTTGTCAGTTGCTCAGATCTCGCATCATGGAACACCAGTAGAACCAATATTACTGGCAGCAGTACATGCAGCAGCACCAGCCGCACTATACGCCGAGCCACGCGTACGGCCCTCGTAAAGGGGGCTATTACAGCAGCTGGCGCAAAGGCGCAATGCATAGCCAGCAGCGTCAAATGCCGGGCCAAGCAACACGTTCATCGTCATTCCGGCGACGAAGAAGACGCGACCTGCAGGTGCTCTGTACCAAAAAAGGGCAAGGCAGCGATCCCGAACTACGCGCAGATCCGGAGTCGGACCTACGAATAGGGGTATGGGCAACTATGGTAATGAAAATCAATGGGTGGAAACAATCTGCAAGCTACTGAAGAGGACATGAACAACAAGGTTATCGTTGTGGAGGGACGCTTCTTATGGCTTTCTTTGTCTCCAGCCACACTTTGAACGCATGCTGGTTTTGGTGTACTTTAGATTCAGCCTTCCAGAAGATGTCCGCGCGTCGTCTTCAGCTCGGATGCTCTGATGAAGTGCATCCCGGCCGCGCCGATGGCAAGGCCCATCAGCACCAGCGAAACGCCCATTGCCCACTTCATGATTGAAATTGAACTTTGAGCAGGTAACGCCTGCAGATAGTTTTATGCGATAAACCCTGGGTGGGTCTTTCGACAAGCGTCATACGACTAGCCGTGAATCAAGAATGATGACAGTAGAAGCCGTGAGCTGCTTGGTGAAAGTTGGGGGTGTTTCCTGTTGCGCCCAGTTTCCAATCCAATAGGTCCCAGCTTCGCTCACGACAAAGCTGCGTTCTTTGAATTATACCGGCGAGTGACCCCAAACTGTGTGTGTGAGGTCTGTGAGCAGAAAGTCTAGAGATCTACGCATTGGGGTCCAGAGAGGTGATGGCGGTGATGAAGTGAAGGTGGGTGTGAGTGAGTGTGAGTATGAGTGAGACTGAAGGTGGGTGAGTGAGTGTGGGTGAGAGTGAGAGTGAGTGCGGGTGGGTGGGTGAGAGTGAGAGTGCGCGCGAGTGAGAGTGAGAGTGAGTGTGAGTGAGTGCAAGTGTGAGTGAGAGTGAGTGTGGGTGAGAGTGAGTGTGAGTGAGAGTGAGAGTGAGCGTGAGTATGAGTGAGACTGAAGGCGGGTGAGTGAGTGTGGGTGAGAGTGAGAGTGAGTGCGGGAGAGTGAGTGAGTGTGAGAGTGAGAGTGAGAGTGGGAGTGAGTGTGAGTGGGAGTGAGTGTGGATGAGAATGAGTGTGAGTGAGGGTGAGTGAGTGTGCGAGGTTCACAAAGCGCTGCACCTGCCACGAAATCTGCACATCGAGGGTCACAGAGTGCTGCGCCTGCCACGAAAACTGCAAACGACGCGTATAACGAAATCTGAGCTCCTCATGAAGTGACATGAGCTGTGACATATCCGACTTTCGTCCTGATATATGTGTTCTGTTTTGGGATGCGTTTCCGAAAACTTGTTCTGCCATCAAAGCAAGTGTCTTTCTTGCGTAAACTGAGCTGTTCGTAAGCCCAAAGGGCCTGAAAACAATTCGTAACCCGTCCAAACCGCGAATTGCGCGCAACCCGTTTTAATCCGTAATCCTTGCTATAACCCTACTACTACCTACTAACTACATATCCTATCACAAACACGTACTACCTACTACGACTGCCACTACTCCTGCTATACTATTACCACCACTAGAACGACGACGGCGGCGGCGGCGGCGACGACGACGACGACGACTACTACTCTGCTACTTCTTCTTCTTCTTCTTCTACTACTACTACTACTACTACTATTACCACTACTACTACTACGACGACGACGACGACTACTACTACTACGACTACGACTACCACTACCACTAGAAATACTACTGCTAGTAGTATTACTACCACTAATGTTACTACTGCGCAAAGCAACCCCCCTGTACCCACCTTCCATGAGAAAGCGCTGTTTCGGGTATTGCTTGTTTGCCCACCTTCCATGAGAAAGCGCTATTTTGGGTATATTGCTTTTGCACCCTGTTATTACTACCACTACCACTACCACTACGACGACGACGACGACGACTACTACTACTGCTACTGCTACTGCTCCTGCTCCTGCTCCTGCTGCTGCTGCTGCTACTACTACTACTACTACTTCTACTACTACTACTACTACTACTACTACTACTACTACGACTTCTACTACCACCACCAACACCACTAGAACTACTACTGCTCTGGGCAAAGCAATCCCCCCGTACCCACCTATGGGAAAGCGCTATTTTGGGCGTTATTGCTTGTTTGCACATGTTTCTGCCACTACTACTGCTGCTGCTACTGCTGCTGCTACTACTACTACTACCACTACTACCACCACTGGGATCACTACTGCTAGTACTGTCACTACCTTTACTACTGGGCAAGAGAAGAAACAGTGGCGCAAGGGACGCGCCATCATATCCTGCTACCACTCCTTTGCAGGCAATCTTTTCCGAGTTATTACCAGTCGAGCTCTTGACACCACGCTTCAACACCTCTACCCCCAACATCCAGGCCAACTCTCCATACCACAACTTTGGCGCCACCTCCATCAATACATTGCCAACCTCCCACCAGACATCACCCAGCCGCTTGTTTGCCTTTTCAATTTCAACGTCCGACTTAGTTTACCTGCCTTTTGATTTTTCCATCATGGCCGATGAATCACCAGACAACAGCAGGACAATCACGCCTGATCGAACACCACCACCCATTTCCTCCGATCCATACCTGCCTCCACACCCCAAGGCACCTCCAAACTTCACCATCCACTGCCCAACCCACTCCAGCACTGCAGCACCACCAGCACTCCCTATTGCCGCTCCACCACATCCCACTTACAGCCCAAAACTCCACCAATTGGAACCCATACCGTCGTAGCAGCCAACGACGACAGCGACCACCACCATCCTCAAGTAGCGAAGACCCCTGCATTATCTACACCCACATTCCCCCGCTCAAGAAGACCCGCCCAGGGCAGCCGCCTGCCCGCAACGACCACCAGTTTACGCAACAAACGACGGCCTTGTCACTGGCAACAGCAACATCCAACCGAAACCCTCACTCTGGACTTCACAGCCACAGGCAACCCTTTCACCACTCTCACATCGGACGGCATCACCGTCAGCACCCCATTCAACGCACCCTACACGTGACCGACATCACAACCATCGTGTCCTTTGCTCTGGACACCTGCATTTCTGGGCCTGCAACCACACCTACAAACAGATCCGTGGAGCTGTGATTGGATCCCAACTGTCACCGGACCTTTGCAACGTTGCCATTACACTTATTGAGCACGCTTGGCACCAACTACACAACAACCTCCTCAACCATACTCACCTCCATTTCAACTACTACCGGTACGTGGACAACCGTTTCACCACCCACGCTGAACATTTTCTACAACACCCAGCCATCCAAACCCTCATCCACCCTGATTTCTTTGGGGATCCAGTGGAGTTAGAACCCGTTGACGGCTACCGCAACATCGACCTAACCTCCCGCACCGTCACCTACATCCAACCTTCCCAGCCATGGAAGATCCGTGATGCGACTTCAGCCGGAAGCCAGCGTTTGTGACTCTATTTCCGGCCTAGCATCCAGAATCCACACAGTTCACAAATACAACTACCCTCCGTCCGCAGCAACCACAGCGGTCCACCACCTCATCGACCTCTACCTGGCCAAGGGGCACCTGGCAGCTGCCTGCCGATGGTTCTTGAGAGCGGAAAAGTCCTCTGCAAGCGCGCGCCGCAATGCGGCATTTTGTGTGTGTGTGTGTCCCACCCTGTACCAAAGGGTCCCACTCGCTGCCCGATGTTATCCAAGAAGGGGCATCCATGACCCACCGTGTGCAACGAGGCTACGGTCATGGGTGGGAAGGGAAGGCTGATCACCTTCCTGTACCTGCTCCACAACACACTGACTCCACTGGTCCACCCTGCTGCTGTGTTTTGTTTCCATGGCGGTTCAGGTTTCTTCCCCCTAAACCTTTCCACCGTTTTCACGAGCAGTCGTGCTGAGTCTTTGCAGTTTTGCAGCTTTGTTAAAACACCTACAAGTGAGCCGACCCTTCACCATTCCGTTCTGCAGTACTGAAGACCACTAGAACTTATGTTCCGGATTATCACTCGGATGAACTCTCTATCGAAGTGTGTCAACTCCTGTTTAAACCATTTAAACATTTGTACAGTTCAGCGGGGGGGCATGTGTGTGTGTGCGTTTTGCAATAGACCCTTTGAGGAGAGTCATGAGAGTAGGTTGTGGGAGGTGAGGCAACACATACTAAGGCGTCACCAATGCTTCTCAGCCAAAGCGCCTGATCTGGCCAATCACAGCTAGAGTGATGTAAGCGCTTGTCTTGCCTCCTGGGACAAAGGCCCAGAAAACCAGCTTCTGGGGGCTACAACTGGGAAAGAATTGCTTGGAGTTTTATGTAGGCCAACATCATCGAAGCTGCACCAGTCAAAAAAAGAAGCCCTTGGAGGCTTTACCTTGCATCTGACCCTTCCTAGCACTGGAACGGAACCCCTCCCCTGGCTACAACCCAACTCACCATCTCACCTTCGTTGGTCGCGGTCACCAAGTAGATCTCCGGCCGCGCTTGCAGCTCCGTCGCTGTCCCACTGATCACCCCGGAGATGGGGTCCAAGGTCAGACCCGCCCTTGGGAGTGGGACACGGGAGTGAGACTTGAAGCCAGCGGTGTGTGTGTGTGCAATGAACCATAGAGAGTTATATAGTTGTGTATATAGAGGAAAATGTTATATATTATGTTATATCATATTACATGATATAATACTATGTATATATTTATATATGTGTTCATATAATACATTAATTACTATATATTTAATATACTGTATGTATACATCTCATGTACTGTATATGTGTGTGTGTTCTAATCCGTTTATGTCAAGAGTAAGACAGCTCCTTTTCATGCTCACATGGTGTTTTATTGTGTCCACATCGTCTGGTGCAAGAAGGTCAACGGCACAGCAAATTGGCAAGAAGGACGCACTGACCAACTGACGTATGGGTTGTTCCATGACGAAGGAACTCATACAAATGTTATACATAACCCCACAAAATCAGAGGCTTGGTGCATTCACTTCAAGACTTTTTTCTTGAGGAAATTAGAGTGTTGCAAGCAAGCGCACGCTTTGAATACATTAGCATGGAAAAATAAGATAGGACCTCAGTTCTATTTTGTTGGTTTCTAGAGCTGAGGTCATGGTTGATAGGGATAGTTGGGGGCATTCGTAACTGTCAGAGGTGAAATGCTTGACGCATCTCCCGGCACGACCACGTGACCAGCTGGCCAAGCAGCTCCAAATGCGATATTACACCCCCTGAAACAATCATGGTTACGTGGATGGCATGGCTGAGAAAGGAAGACGATGTTCCTCTACCAAGAGAGGGTGAACTCCATTTCCATAATTGTTGCAGAGAGGGGCAGAGAGAGAGAGAGAGTACAGTATCATCTTTTGGAAAACCATGCCTCTTCTTCACTTGCCCACATGGGAAGTGGGAAGTGTGTTTTCCTGTCAGAGAAGAGAACCATAGGACCCACACAGCCTTTCCTTCCAGGCAAGACTTTGGCTCAGCTTCGGAAGATCTGGCTGGATGTCATAGTTCTGGACTGCACCTTAGAGACGAAAAGGTCTGGAGACGATGGTGTTGGTGTGGAGGAGAGTCAGACAATGTGCCTGCGTATTATGTATAATGACTTGCCGAGTCCTTGCGAAACCATGTTTGAGTAAAAATCTAAACAGTCCGGCGAGCCCAGCCCTTGGTTGCTGATCCCGTTCCACATCATTTCACCCCTACCGAATCGATCCGGTGCTCCGTTTTGCGGGGCGTGTTCAAGCTCTAAAGGGATTCCTGAAATCGGACTCACCCAGTCGACGACCGTTTCAAACGTCGTCGGAATTCCGACTGGGACTCCGCAAAAGACCGCCGCGCGACCCGGTGCGTCTCCCGACCGCCAAGGAGCAATCCCGTGCCACGAGTTGCGGTACGGTGTTGGCCACCTCAGCGGGTCGGAGCGAGCGCCGAGCTCCGAGGAGCTCCTCCTCCCTCTCTTTAAAAAAAAAGAGAAGAAAAACACCACGTCGAGACCACATCGACGGCTGCCTCACCAGCTGCTGCTGGTAAACTCTCACCCCCAAAATTGTTCGGCTCACTCCTCCCTCCCTCCCCCGCAGTGTCACCCCACCGTTTTCGGCGTCGTCGAGCCAATAAAAAATTCACAAAAACAAAACGACGACCGTGACCGCTTCGTCTCGCCACGGAAGGTAGGCTCCGGCAGTCTCGCGTGGTAACCACGGGGATCATCGGTGCCATTGGTACATCCTGGGGGCGATCAACCGGCAGACAGCTGAAGTGCCGGTAAGTGGTGCTGCAGGGTGAAGACGCCGCAATCAAAGGACGTGGGATTTCCATGGTAAAACCAAGCTTTGGCATGTGCAACATGCAGACTTTCAGACATCTCAAGTAGGGCCGTTCTTAATTCAGCTTCAAAACAAAACATGCTTCGGGCCAAGATGGCCTAGCTGTTCTGCACGGGCACCTCCAAAAAAGGAATCACTTGTCAACCTACAGCAACCAACCAAAGTGTGATCGTGATACCAAAAAAACGCCACCAACAACAACTTGATCGCCTGCAGGAGACCGCACCTCCACTGCTGCACCTCCAGCAGGTTAATCGGTTAATTAGCCTCCAAAGTGTGATCAAGTGTTCTGAAAGTGGTTGGATGATCCCACTCTCTCCTTCACCACATACAGCGAGGCGTTGGGATATGACAAGTCCTGACAGCATGGTCAGACTGAACGACGTCAGACTGAACGCATGCGTTGTTGAACATGCGTTGAGCATGTTCAACAGCGCCGCTGATGGCGTGTCTAATCACTTAACAAAAAAGAAACCACGTGCGGCCTGTCCTTCGGTGGGAAGACGTCCGTGACCCAAACAAACCTCGATTCGTGCGCGAAGGATTCGGCCCAAACATCGACCGCGGCGCAGAGACCCGACAGAGCAGCGGTCGTCTCAGCAGATCAACGACCGCAGACGAGGAGAATTTCGAGGGCGGGGATCATCAAACAGAGACTGGTAAAGCAGTAGAACAGTCACACGCTTCACACAGGTTCCTGGATTTGTCACACCTCTTAGTGGCACCTTAAGAGGCTGGAACCGTTAAAAATCCACCGGACACCATGAGACGTGAATATGACAAACCGAAGCCATGCACCGATTCCGGTGAATCAATGTGATAAACAGGCAATATTTCTATGATTTGTTCAACAAGAAATGAGCCTATAGCCCATATTTACTTATAATAAAATGCTTCTCCAGCCTGTTTTATCACCAATATATCTATGATGATTGGCCCGCTTCTCTTGCTTAAGTCGGCCAATCTTCTTATGATTCGTTTCCGGTTGCTGCGCAGCCCGCGATGCCCCACGGCGATTGGTGAGCGGTGCGGAGCGGCTCCCCAAACAGTTGTGCCGCCGGCACGAAAAGGTCTGCTCCCCAAAAGAGTAAGCTCGCCTTCCGCGATGGCTGAAGCTATCCAACTGTTGTGTGTCTGTCAGCTCCCATTTTCCATGTCTGAGAATCATGTCAAGATATGATTGGCATGCGGACGCATGCAGTATGCTTCGGTACACGTACGATTCCGATGAACTCTGAAACTCTGAAATGACGAACCAGGCTGGACAAACAGCTCAGAGTTGGACAAACTGCTCAAGGTCTGCAAACCAGGCTGGACCCTTTTTGCTTCAGCTCAAGTTGCTCCTGAGCGATGTCTCTCCGACCGGTGGCCGCGGCATTCGTGGCCAAGACCACCATGCAGTAGCGCGTGGCCTTGGCAGCTGCTGACCCGCGTAGTAGCCATGAGCTCTGCCATGATCCGTTTGGTGGACATGAAGGAGGAAGACACAAAAAGTGAAGATCTTCAAGTCGAACACCCCCCTTCATAAAGAGTCTTCTTCTAGCTCCTCCCTCTTCTTCATGCCCATCATGATCACTGAGGCTCCCAGCCGCTTCGATGGGTGTCGGAACGGCTTGCACCAAAGGCTCTCGAAAGTGGTAGGTGGCATTGAGCGCGACGCCCCAGCGGTTTTCGCCTCACCGGGAGCGAGAGGAGTGGGTCAGTCTGGGGCAGTCTGCTGAGAAAGCTGCAGCGAGATGCAGAACAACAATGAAAAACATATGGTTATTTATAATATATATCAACAAAATGTTCAGATCATTTTAGATCAATGTGCAAGTCGATTGAGATGATGGGAGCATCCTTTCTCCACTGGTGGTTGGCAGAAGCGCCTGGCTCCACTGGAATGACATACTCACTCTCGACCTTAGAGCCAAGAAGCGCGCCAAAGGAGCCAAGAAGCGCCCCAGCTGAAGAAAGTGACTCGCGTTGCTGGCAACATCTTGCAGTGCTCTTAGACTTCCCAAGCGCTTCATTGAGGGCTCAAGTGTTGAAGCAAAAAATTATGTGACTCCAGAAAGCAGCCAAACCGTTTGAAAAGGCTCCTGTAGTAAGTCCAAAGACAACTGGTTCAGGTGGACAAAACCACTGTAGGCAATTGATTCATGGCATGTCTACGTCAAAAAACAGTGGTTTGAAGTTTGTGGCATTCAGCCAAGTGGCTCCATCCGTGTAGTTTCCTCCGGGACATGTGCGGAAAAAAGAGGTGGTATTCCGTCACCTGGCAAGGGGGACGAATTCTCTTACATCAGAACTGCTGTCACAAAAGTGTTGTCAACATGCATGCAGTGCACCTGCAGGTGCTTGACAAATTCATACAATTCCTCAACGAGTCAAAGCTGAAAGGGGCCCAACGGACGTTCATCCCGTCCGAAGCCCCCCCAATCAAACCTTGAGCCGCCCAAGGCCGTGGGAGACTCATCATCCCTGAAAAAATCACGATCCTTTGGGTTCGAAAGCTGAAGACCGACGCTACTTTTGAACCCAAGACGCCACTCCACCACCATCATCATCAGGATAGTTCCACCTGCGGTGCGCAAGGCGGCCCCGTTGAGATTCTTCACGGAGTTCCTGATCTTGTTGGAACCGTTGTAAGTAGTCGCATCCAACTGAGGTTTGGATATGTTTGGATAGGTGTTGCACTGTCAAAACGGCATGTCCAGCCTCAAGTAGCTCTTCTATGGACTCACAACCAACCAACCAGACGACTCCATGTCCTCCCGAAATTTCCGTCGTCCCCCCCGAAACCCTAAAACAAGGGACGACGTCAGACGGCGCGCAAGCGCCGGGACCAGTCGTCTCACCTCAAGGTGAAGCTCTCAAAGTCTTCTTGCAGCAGCACCAGGCCCTCCACAATCCCCGGAGCTCCAAAGAACCGCACCTCAACAAGCTGGTGCGCGGCGGTGCGCGCACGAGACAGTAGGGGCCGGAAGGAAGGGAGAGCAATAAGAAAACCCCGGAGGGGGTAGATAAATTTCAAGTACTCGTCTGGGAACCTTCATTGTTAAAATGATTCTTTGGGCTACAGTAAGTCAACTTGAGGCCGAGGGTTGGTGACGAAAGCTATACTATCTAGGAGGGGGTGAAGCGGGCCCATCTCGATGTCCCAGTGGGCCACCTACATATGAAGTGTTCACGCCATGCGGCACTCTTGAGGATTCCAGCCCCTCACTTGCTGAAGCAAGAACAACTCCAGCTAGCTGGTGCTAGCTTTCGTGACATGGCGAAAGCTCAGGGGTTGGACATGGTTGAAAATGATCCAACTCTTCAACAAAAACCGATCCGTATCTTATTCTAGTAGGTCCCACATGGTGGTTTGCGTTCATGCAGAACTGAAATGCTCTTGAGCTCTGTCTAAGAAGTTTGACCCCATGTCGCACTCAATCGCACTCAAACCCAAACCTTTCAGCTCAACCCTCGTCTCCCAGAGTCCGTCCCGGTCCTCCTGTCCTCCCAGCCTCACCCGCGTCGGTCTGAAAGTCGGTCTCCACAAGGCAGTTGTGGGTGGAACCCGGCGCCGCCGCGCAGTAGCAAAGCCGGGCCACCATGCAGGGGCCCTGGGTGTCGAGTGGTTCACTCTGTCCGACTGTCACAGACATGCACACGGTGCTTGGATGGCATCAGAATTTTCCATAAGTACCCTACTACTATCTGAGGACTGGTCAAATTGGCTGTTGTCCTTCGAAAGGATGCCGGTTTTGATAGTAAGTGCGGCCCACGGTTTGGTGTGGGATTCTCAGAATGGCAGAATTTCAATCTGTGCTGCCATGTTGTTTGGTCCTTGGAAGAGAAACCTTGAATCCCTCACATGAACAAGGAATCGAGCATTGACCTTTCAATGATGGCATGCCTCGTCAGAGGAGAATCTTTTTACACCAAAGACACCTTTCCCGCGTGACTTGTCTTTTGACCTTCGAGGATGTGCTGGCTGGAGTAAGCAGCCTCACCGCTTTCGGTTTCAGGGGCGGTAGACTCAACAGAAATGCCTAGTTTCAGTGGAGGGGGATGATTCAAAAACTTAAGACGAGCTGGAACTCGATTGCTCAAAGGAGAAATCCAGCGCACCATCTACACTTCGTCTCGCAACATATCGCAGGCACTCCTGGGTGTGGTTGGGCTGGCACGAAGCTGTGTTCAGCTCTTCCTCATTCCACGGGAGAGGCCAGTGGCACTGGCACTGAAGTGCATGGAAAATGTAACGAGGAGGCTTTGGAGGAAAGGAGAGGTATCAAGGAGGCCTAAATCTTGAGTAGTGGAGGGGGAGGCTTCGGAATTGACGAACTTCCTCACAAATGCCCGCCCAGTGCAGCATGAAGAAATCATAAATCGGCGCGGTAGAAGCGAAATCCGGGGAATTCCCCCACTTCGGTTCCAGAATCGTGGGTGGGTCCCCATCAAGTTAAGTGCCTCTCTTCTCTCTTCAGCCCCTGACGACCCAACACCGTACAAAAACCTCCCCAAGTCTCCCAAGTCGTACCTGTCTCCTCCCGACTAGTCTCAATGCCTGCAGGATGGGCAGGTCCCCTTCCTTTTTCCACCCAAGTCTCAAAGAGGTAGGTGGCTCCTTGCCCCTGAGCAGGGTCTGGACTTGGTCGCGAGGCCCCGGTGTAGGCCACGCTGGGAGCCTAAGAGACGTCCGACCCGCGAGGCCCTGCGACGAGAGGGTCGGAAGGTTTGCCACTCAGGCACCTACTATAGTACCAAACCTGCCTCAGAGTGGGCTACTGTCTGGTGAGGTGTCACATGGTCGGACCATGACAGTGTCACTAGAGTCGTAGAGTCATAGCAAAACACGACTCAATGAGGTGAAAAAATGGCCAGGTTAAACCTGCCTCAGACTTTTTACATGGAGGGCCAGTTTTTTTGAAGGACCCAGCCACCCTCCAGCCGCCCTACTTCAAAGACTTCCGGCTTTCTCTTTCCTCTTTCAAAGCCCACCCACGCGGCCTCGTCGACGGCGGAGCGAGTCAAGCGACGGCGACGTCGCGTCGCTCGCGACGGTCCGCCTCGCTGCAGTTGTCTCGCAACATCAGCTTGTCACCCGCGCTCATCTTGTAGCCCTGCAAGCCTCCCATGGACCATCCCGTCCGGTGTGGGTCCGAGGTGTGTGACTCGTGTGATCTGACACGGTCTGACACGGAAAACCTGACCAACCACTGACTGGGACTGGGAAAGCCTGAAAACGCATCTGGGCAACTTGGAGGTCTCACACACTAAAGGATAGCCAAGCAAACCACAAATTGACAGAAAGGTTGAAGTCTTTCAGAGTGTGGTGATGGTTTCTTCGAACTGTTTGAAAGGTCTGTGGAATTTCCAGCATTTCACTCAAAATGTCCAAGAAAAAACCCATCAATGCGATTGGTCACTCAGGCACTGTCCAGTCATGCAAACCGTTCCTGACTCTTCTTTTCTTGCTGCCTTCGCATGAGTTTCACCAGTCCAGGCATATCAAACCGACCCAGAAGGCCTTGGGCCTGCCGAGCGGCCAACCCCGATTCACACGCGTTCACGGCCGCATCACACATCGCGGCATCCGCCCTCCACCTGTGCACACTGCGGTCCAGGTGTTGTGCGCAGGGAGACGCACAGGCGTTTCAAGGAAGTCGAAACGAATGTGAGCCAACTCTCCTCTGAACTGTGCACTTGGAGGGGAACAAAGGGATCCTTTTACTCCGGCTCAGATAACAAATGCTACCACCAAGAGCTTTTACTTTTGCCAGCCTCTTCGACCGAACCGGTCGCTCCAAAACCGTTCGGAGGATCCAAAAGGCGAACGCCGCGAGATCCGGGGCTCTACGGTCCAGACAGCCGAGTTCACTCGGTGTACGCTTAACAGTTGGCATCGCTGTAAACAAACCAGCAGAACCAAACATAAATGTTCGTTTGATTTCCCTTGTCTGTTTGCTTTTAACCATAAACCATTGTCTTTTTCTTTCTCTTCTTCCTCCGCCTCCGTTCCCGGGCATCTGCATGGAGCAGCACCGCCCGCTGCCACTGCGCGGCCCGCAGGCAAGCACGCAGCACGGCGTGGTACGTGATGCTCGTGGGTGTCAGCTTTAGGTCCTGCATCTCTTGAAAAAGGCCTCAGCTCTGGAGTCATGTGTATACAAAGAGTCAGAGGATTGTTTCATTTGTTTCATACCTTCAAGGATTTACCAGATAAACAGACCAACAACAAAAAGGTCGGCTACCATGCCATTGCTGCATGACAAACGTGTAGAGAAGTCTGAGACACGACTGTGAGAAACGCTTCATGAACCAAAATCCACAACCTAAAACGACTGAAGAGTCCAGCGTGGCTTTCGGTCCCTTCGTTCCAAGTGGCTCAAGGCCCATTCCCAGCGCGCGGCCTTCTCACAGGCGGAGATTGCCCCATTCAGCGCCACGCGGCTGGCGGGCACCGGTCGGCCGTGACCGCCGAGGGCTCGGAGGGCGCGGCGCCACTGGGCGGCCTTCTCACAGGCGGAGACGAAGGCGCTGCAGGAAAAGGCGTCCTCAGCGAGCGGCGAAAGAAGGTGAACGTGGCACCTTTTTGTTGGGTGAAAGTGTAAAGGATAATGGTACAGTAGGTGGTCTTATTTGTGGCGGTGGAGTGCGAGCTCGAGAGCAACACACGTGGTCCGAAATGTTTGCAAGCAAAAGTTTGAAGAAAAATGGAGTGGCTGTCCACGGGCAAGGGTGTCAGCTTACGGCACAAAAGCTATGCAAGGAGAAGAACAGCTCTTCACAGAAATTGTGGGCGGCTTTCCGCAAGCTCGCAACCTTTTGCTGTCCCAGAATCCAACGAGAGGCTTGTGCTGCCTCTATGCAGGAGCACAGTAGCCATCTGCCACTGGTTGCCCTTTTCGCAGGCACTCAACGCAGCATTCAGCGTCACCACTGAACGCTCCAAACGACACACAGCTGGAAGGTGGAACAACCAGCAGGCCTGTCGCCATTGTCCACCTGCAGAATTTGTTGACTGGCAAAATGTAGGTGTCGTGGAAGTGGTCAAAGGAAGTGCAATGAAAACAGCACCATGCGGTGTTTTTTGTGCGACTTCGACCCGAATGGAGGAGTCGTGGGTACGTTGGAGAACTCTCCACAGCGGATTCGTAGCATTCATGCCCATTGGGCCACGTCAGTGGTTAGAACGTGGTCAGTAGTCCTTGAACCAAAAGATAGATCCCTGCCATCACTAGATCTGCCATCATTCTGTTTGGCCCCTCCTCCCGTGCCGACCACCATACCGACCACCATACCAACCATACCCTCCGCCTTTCTCACAAGCACTGATGCACGCATTGTAGACCAAGAGATTCGCTGGCATGGACTGACAGTGACAATGCTCCAAGAGCAGGATGGCCCTCTCCCACTCTCCAACTTGTTCAAAGGCGCTCGCGGTCGCAGCATAGGTCACGCTGGTGGGTGTCAGTTGCCACTGGAAGAGCCTCTTGAAAAGGAACAGCGCCTGTGCCAGTCGCCAGTTGAGTTTATGTTGACTGGCAAGCCAGAGAAATGGCATGTGCATCTCCCATAATGGGGTTTTATCACCCTGTGCCACTCCTACAAAAACTCCCCTACCCTGTTGACTTCTCCCAACGGCCTGTTGCCACTGTCGGCCCTTCCCACACGCACTGATGGTGGCGTTGAAGGTGATGATGCTCGGCTGGAGACCAACGCTTGTGGTGACCTCCACTGATGTGTGGGTGAAATTGGATTTGTTCATTTGGGTGCAAAGGAACAGCATGTCCACACAAAGAGGGGAGGTCCTGAATCACTTCCTTGTCTTTCAAATCAGACAGACCTCTAGACACAAGTCCTAGCACAAACCAGTACTAGTAACTATCCAGCAATCCGGTAAACCAAATGAGGCCTTCCCACCAGCGGACAGCAACGCCGGCCAACCATTCTCCCGGCCATTTTGAAGGCCTTCCAGAAGAGCATCAGCGCCCGCTGCCACTCTCCAGCTTTTTCACAGGCACTGATGGATGCATTGTAGCTGAGGATGTCGGTTCCGCACGTGGAACTCCTGAGTCAGACGAGCGGTCAAATTGTCATGTCCACGCTGATTTGGGTAAGTCAGAGCCACCTCGCAGTTTGGCAGCAAGAGATAGTGGACAAAGAATAATGTTGAAGCTAGTAACTAGCCTACCTTCGACATTTGTGCCAGTGAAGATATCTTGGGCCTGGTGGGAGGTGAAAATAGGCACCCCGTTCAGGATTCATCCGTTTCGGCTTCAGAAAGACTACGACTATGACGTGACAGATACGATCGTCCAAATAAGCAGCCAGAGGGACTTTGCAACACAAGGCCCCTGAAAAAGGCGCTGTCGAGATGACCAACTTGACGTCTAAAAAAAGGAGCGCGGCATGTCATGCTTCGGCCAAAGAACGGGCTCAATCTCAGCAGCTTGGCATGGTATTACTTCACTGGTGAGACTCAATCAGAATAACTTGGCACGGTATAAGTCTCAACAGCTTGGTGGGCGTGGCATGAAAATTTCAAGCTCAGGCGTCCATGGAATAACTGCAGAAGAGACTCAGCAAATCGAGAAGCCCGAGAGCTTGCTGCCACTCAGAGACCTTCTCACAGGAACTGATGGCGGTGTTGAACGAGATCCGATCTGACAGGTGAGCATGCTCGAAGAGAAACCTCGGTAAACAAACAAAAACAGTGAGAAAATCAGATTTTGACATAAAAGCTTCAAGGAGACCCACAGGTTTAAGCATCTCATGTGAACATCATGAAAATCTAATGGTCAATGAATCATGACACCTGGCTCATTGTTAAACTCACGCAAGCTTTGGTACATCTTCCGCACACAAGCTTGGGAAGTCACGCAGGTTTCGCTTGCTTGAGGCCCAACCGTGTGGGTTTTCCCGTTTCACACTGGACTGCACGACGAGTGCGCTCGACACTCGCCTCATTGCACGTTGCCATTGGCCTCCGCCTCCCAGCGCACTGATCACGGTGTTGCAAGTCGTTACGGAAGGCTCTAGCGTGTACACCTGGCGGTTGCACGGCACGGTTGACGCGCACCTTTGTGGAGATCTAAGACAAATTTAACATATATAAGTTGTTGAGCAAATCTTAACTTTGTGGCTCTTCTATACGCTCAAATCCCCCTTTGGAAGCCCCCGGAAAGGTTCCCAAACCCGGTGTTTTGTACCACCTGATTTCCCTTTTCGAGCACTCACAACACCTCTTTACACTCACATCCACATCCTGAAAAGAATATGAAGCTCCGCCTTCGCGGTGGAAGCTCTGCCTTCTCTTCCTCAACCCCCATCACCATCACGTGCAAAAGCCAAAAAAAGCCAGCACTCACGCGCTCGCTCTCGCGCCGCGCGGAACGGCACCTCCAAAGCAGACCAGGTGGACATGGCCTCCTTCCATCGACTCGCACGCTCACAGGCACGGATCGCGGCGTTGAACGGCACCTCGTTGGTGGAACTACCGGCGATCTCCTGCATGAGGATCCAGGTGGGAAGTTTGGTGCAGAGGTGGGTGAGTCCAGTAGTTCTTGAAAGAGTTTAGAAGACTTTTGAAGTGGTTCCAGGTGGGGGACATGATGAAATGAGTGGTTCCAGGATGCTTTATGTGCCCTTTCCATGACCAAATGCCACAAAAAACGCTGCATGGAGTTGGTTTCCGGATCTAGAAGCCCCCAACTGAACGCTCGGTGTCCAACGGCGAGACACCCGGCCTCCAGCACCTCCAAGGCCCATCTCCACTGGCTGCAATTCGCGCAAGCGCTGGCCGCAGCGCTCCAGGCGACCACGCGATGAGCAGTTGGTTCAGCGATGGTGCGGAGAAGCGTTAAGAGGTGCAGGGCACCTTGCCTCAGTGCATGTGGTTCACACAAGTGGCATGGCAACTGGTGGGATTGGTGGGAGAACAGCACGTTTCTGACTTTAAGAGTGCCACCAACGAGAACCCCTTACAATCTTCCAGCTCTCAGTATTCCAGATCCTGGGACCACCCCCCTCGCTGCCAACATTCAGAAAACATGTACCAAGCTCAGAGAGCTCCGCCATTGGTGGCCCTTCTCGCAGGCGGAGATCGCGACGTTGTAGCTCACCAGGCTGGGTTGTAGGCGGGATCGCCGGCCCAGCGCAGCGAAGATCTCCAAGGCGCGCTGCCATTGCGCGGCTTTGCCACAAGCACCTCAGCTGGGGCCGCTCCGGTGGGTCGGAAGGGTCCGAAAAGGGTCCGAAAAGTCCGGAAAAAGAATCCCTTTATGTCAAGAGTGAGGATCTTGATTGCATCTGGAGTTTACCTTTACGTATTAGGCTTAGGATCATCACCTGAGAGCTTTCTCTGAGCAGTTCCACAAGACTCATTGGTGGGTTCCACAAGGGTGAACCCAGTGAACCCAGCATCTTGTCTGATACCCTTGGCCCCTGAACCCATCAGGCCAATCGATCGGTTGGGAAGACGAAGCGCAATGCCGCGCCATGCCACGATGCGAAGAAATACCAACAAACCAAAGCTGGAAAACACATCCCTTGTTTCACCCGAACTCCAACGGGGACCAGCTTGCTGGAACTCAACTCGGACTGTTTGGAGGACCCACTGGAAGGCTGGCCAGCCGCTCCGAGAACCAGAAGGAGAACCAGAAGCCGAAGCACCGGATCCATCAGATTCCTTGAAGTGGTGCTTCATTGATGCTTCAGAAGGCAAAAAGAAGAACACACCCAGACATTCGGAGCCCCAACTCCAAACATTCGCAGCCCGTGGTTGGTCTCTGGGGCCCGACGCCTCCCCCAAAAACCGGTGGTTGGTGCTGGACATGTTCAGCGAAGTCCTCCGCCCGCGACACAGACCAGTGGTTTCGCGCAAGGAGCTGATGGCCGAATTGTAGGTGATCACATCGGGGCAACTCAGATCTTCCACTTCACGTAGCAAGCAAAGCGCTTCCTGCCACTTCTTGCCCCGTTCACAGGCAGCAATGGCGGCATTAAAGGACAAAATATCTGGTGTCGGCATGTCTTCTGCTCGAAGTAGAAAGAGAGCTCTTTGCCATTGTGCTCCTTTGCCAAATGCAGAAAGCATTGCATTGCGTGTAACTACAGACACCTCCAATGCTGCTGCACGGCCAGAACCGAGAAGATTCCATGCACCTTGCCACTGGTTCTTCTTCTCACATGCACTGATGGCCACATTCAAGGTAATGATCGATGGTTCAATCTTGAATGTATTGGCACTTTCAAAGACTGATAATGCCAAATCCCACTGCTGAGCCTTTCCACATGCGCTGATGGCCAGGTTTGGTGCGCTGTGTTGGACGTCCTTCACCCGAAGGAGCTCCAACTCTTCGAGCGCGGTTCGCCACTCGGCGCACTTCGCGGAAGCGCCGCCCCCTCTCGCACTCGGCGCCGTGATGGCACGCTCATCCAGCTGCAAATCCTCCGCAAAGAAGCACGTCTCCCAAGGTTGGGCTTTCGCCTTAGCACCAAGTTCCTAGGAGAAACAAATATTGAGACTTCTTGGAACTGGACCCAAATCTAAACAAAAAAGCAAGAAATCACATCATGTGTCTGAAACATTTCGCAGAGTTTCATAGGCGCGACTTGTGCCCGGAATGTATGCGACTTCCTTCGGAGTGCGGCACATCTAGTTCCATCGTGGCGCGCACAGAAACACTTCGCCCAGCACCTTGATCCCCAAAGAGCCAGCATCCCGGAGCTCTCAGTCCAAAACAAGTGTATACACTCCCTGAAACAATCATGAAAGTGGAAAACCCCCCCATTTGTAGAGGAACGCAGGACATTATCCACTTCCATGTTTCTTGGAGGAAGGGTATCGTCCTTCCTTCCAGTGGCCATTTCCGGGCGACCGAGCGACCGAGTTTGACTGATGACTGAGTTAACTCAGGTGGAGAAACCATGCAAACCATGAGGTGGAGAAACCGTGGACTGTTGATGAATAAAACCCTCCAGGCCTGGAGACGTAAAACCATCCTGGTACGGCCGGAGGTTTTCTTTTTAAATTCATCATCAACAAGCACCACGACTCCCAACCGAGTCGCGTTGGCTTGGGCAATGTACCGGGACCTGTGATATGATGCGATGGCTTTTTATACTGTCTCGGTGGAAAAGTCGCTCAAAACCCCCGAACCAGCCTGTGACGGTGCACTCACGACCAGCAGGGCAATCTGCGGTGTTGTTGTTGAAGGGACCGGTCACATCCAACCTTGAAAGAAAGGGCACAACATCCTTCCCACTTCCAAAAAAATAAACTCATCCTATTTGATTCTGCCGACAGAAAAACATGAACAAACAATAACCAAAACCAGGATCTGCATCAGAATCTGCATGCAACGACAGCAGTTACTCGCCCCCCAAGGGACACGTCCACGGTCACGGACACCGAGAAGTCGGAGAAGCTGCCGTCTCCGGAGGCACAGCCGAACGGCAAGGCACCGGCATCGCACGCCTGCGACGCCGCTCCCGTTCGGATGGGCCGCTCTGGGCGATGATGCGAAAGGTTCGGCGCCCGTCGCGTCGCACACGGCGAAACAGGAACGGCGAAAGAACGCCGTCAAAATCAGCTGGACACGAAGAACAAAAAGCGGGGGAAGGGCTGAAACTCTTTGCACTCCTTTCCTTCACTTCGAGAAGAAAAAGATCGATACGTATCTTCAGTCTGCCGCCAAAGGTGCGCAAAGCCTCACTGGCCCCAGTGTATCAAAAAGCACCTCGGATCGTCGTGCAAAAAAGGCACCCGGAGCCTCTCGTGGACTGCTCGAGCGACTTCGCAAACCGCACGGGCAGACTGCGATGGACGTCGGCCCACAAGATCATGCCCAACCAAAAGAGTCCGGCCAAGGCCACTCACTTTGGCCGAGAACTCCAGCCAAGCAATGGACCAGATTGACGACTCACCGGCAACTCAGGAACCAAACGGATTCAATTAGGTGTCGGATCGGTCGAGGAAGGCTCCGGAAATCCAAAAATGAACCGCAAAGGAATCCGATGTTGTATCTCTTCAGGCGTCTCCGGGAGGCCCTGCACCTTCTTCACCCGACCCCGAAGTGAACAGGTCTACTGTGCCAATGCCTGTTGACCAATCAATTTCTTGCAGGTGCGTTTCTTTTGCATCTTTTTGTTGCCTTGGGACATGGACAGCATGCATGGACAGCATGCTTCGCAGATGTTCACATGGTTGCTACTTGGTCACCTTTCTGTCCCAAAGTGGTTCCTTCTGTCAACAAAGGAAACGATAAATAATCTTCCTTGGCTGACATGCAAACCACTTCAAGTCAACATAACACCACTTGCCTTGGCTTGCCACTTGGGCTTTGTGATCCACCAATTCACAAAAAGGACCCACGGAGCAACCCGTCGGGGCGTGGTGGTGGTTTGGCCCTGGTTTGGTGAAATCCGCCAAAGGAAACTTGCTTGGAAAGCACCCCAAAACGAGAACACACCCCTCTGGAAAATCTCCAAGACATCTCTCTGGCAAAATGCAGTTCCGTTAACAAAAAAGCATGTCAAGTGTCGAATCAATCCAACCATCGAAGTTCGAAAAAGGTTGACTAGTCACAGTCGAATCCCTCAATCCATTTCGCTCCAAGAGTTCGCTTCTCCACTGCGTTCGCGCCACTTCTACGTTCGCTTCTGGGGCCTCCCGGCGGCACTGCTACCACAGATCATCAACTCCGGCGCGGACCCCGTGTCATTGCAGGGCAGCTCGCGCCACTGCTGCCAGGTGTTGGGCCTCGCGGTGCGGCGGGGCCCGGCGGGGTGGCAAAGGGGTCCGGCTATCAGTTCCAACGCAACTAACATGATGTTGTAAAGGTTCAGATCAAAAGTACTCCAAAAGGCAAGAATAGTTCAAAAAAGTTCAAAAATAGATGGATATAGTCTAGTCTAGTTGTTCTTTGGAAGAACCCAATCTGTCACCATAGCCAGATCACCTTCAAATGCAAGTCCTTCTCTCCCCACCGCGCCTGAGACCTTTGACGTCATAGGCACCTGGTGCCCCAGGCAGAAATGCACCCCCACACACGTAAGTGGCATCCACTGCCACGATGCGGTCGTAGTCCGGGTCAAAGTTCTCGCCCTGTACAAAGATGGTCACAGGGATCCTCAAAAGAGGCAGGACATCCGGCCGTTCCCGGCCGGAAACGGGCGATCTACGGGCGGTCGGAGAGGTTGACTCTATATAGCTGTATCCACACTACGTTGCCTGGAGTGTTGGGTACCCAAACCTGAAGCACTCTCGGTGATAAAAGTGAAAAGTGAGATATTGAAGATTGGACAAGAACGTGGAAACAGCTCTGCCGACCAAGGCCCTTCAATTGACGATGGGACCTCGCCAAAAAAGGATACAAATAACCCTAAGAATCCGGGCCCTCAAACAAATAGGGCTTGGTTTCGGGCCCGCACCCCTGCGAAGGTGTCGGGTCCGACCCCTTCCATGGAGAGCCCGTTCGGATTCTTAGGGAAGAATAAGTCAGTCGAAATTCTGAAGACCCCGCCACACGTGCGGATAGCGCTATCCGCCTCTGCCGAGTGTCCCTCGAACGATGGGCGTGGGTTCGGTTCGGAAGAGATTCCCACGGCCGTGGAAGTACAGCACATCGCCTCGGTCTTCGGCCCCGAGCGATCTCGGTGGTTTGGAGCGCCCTTTGGAACGCGCAGCGATGGGGAAAGCCCCAAGCGAGGACGGGGAGACAGCGAACTCTTGGGTCGGTCGATTGATGCCTGGCCATCTTTCACCGCCCCCGCCGCTTCTGTTTCTTTGACACCCCCGCCCAGTTCTTTCGTGGACCACGCGATCCGCCCGGAGATCCAACAGACCGCGGTCCTCGCGGGTCGAGGACCTCCAGCTGCAGCTGAGACTCGGCTCTCGCAGTTCTTGGGCCCCGTCACGGTGCCCACGTTCGGGGAGGCCGAGCCACTCAAGGGACCTGGCGGCGGTGGGGGACCAGAGGTGAGCTCTGGGCCGAAGAAGGGTTCCACCCCCAAAACAATGCTTTAAGGCCATGTGGATGAGGCGTTGAGAATCTGCTCTACTGCTTGGCTTGTTGTTGTGGGCATTGGTTGGTACAAACAAGATTTCTCCAAGTGCCAAGTTTGACTGAGAAAAATCCACCAAAAGAACAGGCTGGTTGTGCTTCAATGATGCCACTTCGGGTGCCCCGCCTGTTGACAACAGCTCGCATCGCTCAACACTGGGATCAGCTGTGTAGGTGAAACGGAAGTGAAGACAAGAAGAACCTCTCCGGCAGCAGGACCGCGGGTGTGCTTTTTCAGCACATGACTTGTGGCCGCTAACTTGCAAAGCTCAAAAAGCATCACTTGGATTTTTTCAGGTGGTTAAGTAGGAAATAACAGGGAACCCATTGCCAACTCCAGCAACCAAAGGTCAATAGAAATCTCGTCTTTCACGCAGGAAAAAGACATCTCAGAGTTGGAAGCCTTGCAACATTCACAGGACTCGAAAGCTCACAGGGTATACTTGTCTTTGCAAATCTGGAATTGATGTCACAGATGTCACAGCAAACATCTCAGCAGGTCTCACGGTCTCACATGGGTTGGGGCGAAGAGGCTTGGCAGCAGGTGTCTGAGTGTGACAATCTGTGGCTGGGTCTGACAATCCAAGCAGCTCACAAAGCAAAGGCTTTGGCATTCAATGGCGCTCGCAGCTGTGCTGTTGCTTTGCCTCAGGCGCGTTGTCACTTCCAAAAAGGGAACGGCGAAAAGGAAGGATCCGCGTCCTCCAGCTGACGGAAGCGGAAAGTGAAAGGGGCGGAAGATGGCGAAAGAAACGATCAGGCATGTGGGCGCTGCTACTAGTAGCTTCTTGTTACTGGTACTAAGGCCAGGAACTAGTAGTAGCGATGTCCTTGTTACCAGTAGCTTCTTGCAAATAGGTACAAATCAGAAATGCCGAAACCTGTTGATTGTCACAGATCCTGCAGAGTCAACGTGTGGGTTTCTCTATGTCTCTCTTTCACAATCAAGAAAGGCGAATCACCTCGGACCTTGAAAAAGGACACACAGTACACGTAAAGACATGCAACACATCATCTGGGTGCTCAAATGGCATACGGCACGCGTACTGTATGTCATCTTTGAGTTCTGCAGACAAGTCAGATCAGATGTTGTTCAACCCTTTTCCAACGCACAAAAACCCCGCCGTCGGCTTGAAGATGAAAAACCTGCATGACCAGCCACACTGTCGCGCCAGCGTAGTCGTAATCGATGTCGAAACCTGCCGTTTCGTCAACACGTCGTAATCGATCGGTGGCGCCAGTCCGAGTGCCTCACTTTGTGCCTCACTTTGGTGAGACCTGGATGAGAACAGACCCTCTGATCGTTCTAGATCCGCTTTCGGATCCATTGATTTTTGACCATCCATTGCGCCGCAAAGCGCAAATGGACTGCACATGTTCGAAGATGTGTCTAACACATCACATTCGAAGGCGGAGCAAGAATTGGGGGATCCCACAATCTGGGTTCGGCCAGTAATCTCATTTTTCCTCGGATGTGAGCTTATTTGCAATTGTTTTCCATGTCACACTGATTGCAGACTGTCCCACCGAGGTCAGCCTACCAACCAAGCCCACCAAGCCAGCCAAGTCGCAATATGGCCCAGGGGGCAAGGGGCTTGGCTCTGGAGGTACAGTGAAGTTGCTGCGGAGCAACCTGCGGGATAGCTTGAGGAGAGCTCGCTCGAGGGAATCAGTGAAACACGGCTTTTCCAGTGAGCAAAAAGGACCTGAACTAGTGGACTCCTTAGTGGACCATCATAGATAATCAAGCTATAAATCAATTCCTGGCGGGTCAGACTCAAAAGGAAAATCTATGAAAATCCAAGACCTTGTCCTTCACAAGACACGTCCTTCTTTGTCGCATTCTACAATTTACAGTATCCGGTCAAACTCAGGAGATCCTCCTGTCTATGCGCCTTGACCGAGCCTCTACACTTCCTTACTTCAAAAGAAAGAAACACATCTGAAGCCTTCGTTCTTTTTCTACTTCGCCGTACGTCAAACTGAGGCTCATGTACGTCACCTAAGGTTACTCAGAATTCCTGGCTGATGTCTGATGTCGCCGATCCGTCTCGCCCGATCCAACGGTGCGCCTGGTGCCATTGCCTTCGAAGAGAAGCTGTAAGGTGTAGCTTTCTCCCAGCGTCAGCCCACAGGCAGCCAGGCCCAAGTTCACGACTGAAGCGACCGACCGAAGAAGCGAAAGGCGGAAAGGCTGGCATAGGCTGGCGGCGGAAAGCGCTTGGAGAGAGCTTTTGAGTGAAGCACAGCCGAAAGGGACGAAAGAAGGGTAATAGTGCATGAGAGCAACTACCACTATCAGGAAATGCTTGGCAAGCAATGTCTGCCAGAGAATTTGTGTGGTGAAAACATATAAAAACCATCCGGAAATTCGCTTGGCAAGGTCTGTCAGGGAATTGTTTGTGTGGTCAAAACGTATATTATACCGGCATAGACCCCAGATAGCACTTCAAGAAAAGTTGGACACCATGGCAAGAGCGGGAGACAAGCTTGGGAGACATCCCCCTCAAAGCCGGGAAAAGGATGGAAAAGGTAAACAAGACGGACCTAAATCATCTTATAACAGCATCCGCGTCGAAGGCAGGCAAGAAAATGATAAGGCGGCAGCGGCAGCCAAGAGCGAAATCAGGAACAGAGACAAGCTTGGGACACACGGCGGCAGCGGCAGCCAAGAGCGAAATCATGAAGGGAGACAAGCTTGCGAGACAAGCCGGCAGCGGCAGCCAAGAGCGAAAAATCATGAAGGGAGACAAGCTTGGGAGACAAGCCGGCAGCGGCAGCCAAGAGCGAAGTTATGAAGGGAGACAAGCTTGGGAAACACGGCGGCAGCGGCAGCCAAAAGCTAAATCATGAAAGGAGACAAGCTTGGGAGACAAGCCGGCAGCGGCAGCCAAGAGCGAAGTTATATGAAGTTATGAAGGGAGACAAGCTTGAGAAACAAGACGGCAGCGGCAGCCAAGAGCGATATCATGAAGGGAGACAAGCTTGAGAGACAAGGCGGCAGCGGCAGCCAAGAGCAAAATCATGAAGGGAGACAAGCTTGGGAGACAAGGCGGCAGCGGCAGCCAAAAGCGAAAAATCATGAAGGGAGACAAGCTTGGGGAGACAAGCCGGCAGCGGCAGCCAAGAGCGAAATCATGAAGGGAGACAAGCTTGAGAAACAAGACGGCAACGGCAGCCAATTTCCGCAATCCGGAACCCATCCATTGAGAACTAAGAACCCCTATAGCTTCCAGGGGAAAAAACATTGCTTTGTTACTCTGTCCCCCCCTCCACTCCACGGAGGACGTAGGAACACTACAGCCTCGTAGAAGTGATTGCCTTTGAAGGTATGAAGTGAAAAGAAAAAAACACGCTAACGTTTGCCATAAAAAGGTAAATAAATAACAAGAGAATCAACCACTCTACCATGCTGCTTCTATGCCTTGAAACGTGCTTCAACCTACAAAAGCCGCGGTATCCGACCACTCCCGGACCCGGCGCCTGTGGCCGTGATCGGAGTTCCCAAGTCGGTGCAACTGGAGAGGCCCAGGGCACCGAGACCTGTCTTCAACTCCTCGGTCAGATTGAGGACACGAAAGTCAGAAACTGGTTTCTTCATGTTTCTTCCTCCAACTTCGTCTTCTTTTTGGGGGGATATCCTAGATGGTCCTAGTACTAAGTAGAGTCTTATATATATATATATATATGTAGAGAGAGAGAGAGTTCTTGAAGCAAAATGCTATCTCACCACATGGACCTGCTTCGCCTTTGGGGTGACGAAAGACCTTTGTCCCAGCGTCGCTGTCGGTCGGCTCCGCACCCAAGACGCTGAGGTAAAGCCATAAGGTGCCGGGAAGAGCCTGGCAGGTAGAGCCCTGAAGAGCACTGAAGAGTCCCAAGATCTTCCAGGCTCTTTCCATGTCCAAACCCTCATGCCGAACCCCTCGAACCCCAAAAAAACGAAGAAAAAAAACTGGTTGTTGAGCCAAGCACCGATCCAGGCACCTCTCCTTCCCAGTTGTTTGGATGAAAAGACTCTGGAGGATGATGCAGATTCAGAGGGTGGTGGATGACTGTAGAAGAACCTCAAGAAGGCTCACACGACAGACCTCCCGGAGCTTTGCACAGTTGGTATGCTTTGCCAGGTCGTTTGCCCACACTCCTCAGATTCTGCAGGTCTAGGGGGTACAGTACCTCTTCTGCCACCCATTTCTGCAAGTCAGGTGAAGCATCTCTCACATCAAAAGCACCATCCACTCCGGCAGCTCACTGAAACACCGTCACCGCACGTTTTCAGCCCACACCCGCATTGGCTCACCCGCGATGTTCACCCCAAAACGCCCCCCCCCTTTTCCTTCGCCGAAACCGACATAACCCGCTGACCACGAGCACACTGACCACACCTCGCTGGCGATGGTCACCGTGCAGAAGACACTTTGGTCTTGGATGTCCACCTGACGTCTGGGGCCGTCGCCGGAAGGAGACATCGTCGCCCCGTAGGTCGGTGCCGTTTCCAGGTCAATACAGAGCAGTGACCGCAGGAGATGCTTCAGGAACTGGGAGTTAATGAAGAATCGTTCGGAACAAATGACTTACGGAATGCCAGGAGTGACGGAATGCAAAAGGAACGGCTTTCGTTCCTCACCGTGTGCGTGGCCAAAAACGGCGGTCGCCCCCGCAAAAGAAAAGAAGAGAGAGAGAGAGAGAGCGGCGTCGCACCCGTGTCACCCCAGTGGTGCACAGATCGAAGTTTGGCGGAGCTGCGTTGAACATGTTGGTTAGGAGTCTTGTCATGTGGAAACACACATACAAAAAAGAATAAATGTTCCCCCGTGTCTATGTGTGTTGCAGTTGCCTATGTCTTTTTTGTCACATCACACATCCCATGCCCAGACCATCGACGGGCATCATTGGGATGGCTAACCATCCCTGGCCAACAGCTCGGGCGCCGTCACACGTTGCTCACGGCAACGTCGCGGAGGGGTCGCGGGTTGTGGGTGTCCTATGGTGTCTTGGGACTCCCTGAGGATCCATACAGCTTGCTAGGTATACCCTCTGAGGTGCCATAGGTGCGAGAAGACGAGGAGTTTCAAACGAGCAAGGCAGGGTAAGCCTCTTGGGGCCAAGAAATGTGTTATGTCGCCCATGGCCCAATCAGCCCACCGCGCCAGGCGCGTCCAAGCCACCAAAGACACATTCAAATCGGCGTCTTGTGATTGGGCCAGGCTGAGCATCAACCTATGTGCTGGCCACGTTCGGGGGTCCATGAGTTTGTTGGTGCACACGGCTCATGACAGGTGAACGCACACTCACCATCACTCACCTCTATAGGCTTGAAAACCACCATTCAATGAATGGTGTTTACCGAAGTACCATTGTTTTACTAAGGATGTTGCACTACAACACCAGCACCACCATTTTTTTGGTGGTCTTGGACCTTGGACTTCCAGGGTCACAAAAAAGGAGGAAAAGTTAAAGACAATCTCTTCAGAGTATTGAAGTCAAAAGTTGGCCCGGTCGCAGCTCTTTGCTGTCAATACAGTCTCCCATCTTCCCCTTCTTTGTCCCGAAAAGCAAACCCGACGTCGCCATCATTGCAGTCCAAGCATCATCTCTCCGTTACCCACTTCAGAATAACTCTACTGACTGGTGCGACTCGTGGCTGGAATGAGAGTGGCTGGATCCAAAGAACTCCCTCTTGGGGGGCGAGCTCGCCCGCTCCTTCCCTCATTCCCTACGACACTCCACCCGTCGCACCGACCGTCAGTCCGTCACTCCACCCGTCGCTCCAAGTCACCAGAGCCACATGCCCATCATCGCGCTCCATTGCCACAGGTCGCCCCCGAACGAACGGCCACGGTGTCTGGAAAGAAAAGAAACACGGTGTCTCCGCCGGGTTAGCCACGGTGGAGAGCCGCCGGAACCGGGGAGTCCTGGAATGATCTCTGGCTGCGGTGGCTGTTGGTTCAAGGGAGGATCAAATAGATGTTGATGTTCTCCCTGTGCTGGCCGTTTTGATCTACATACTCAGGTTCTGGGACTGCACTTTGGTTTTCGTGATGTCTTTGCATTACAAAGGCCTAGAAGTTGAGTCTACCCTCCGGATAGAAGAGTATGACTACAGTATTCATCTTTGCGCGAGTCCCGGAAAGCATCCCTGTCTAAAGTGTTGTTCCAGCCTTGGAGCCGCACCGCGGCGGATGGAGTTCTAAGTGGCGCAAGTGCTGGCTAAGCAGCCAACGACAAAGCAGCGGCCTTGCTAGTCGTCTGCAAATGATCCTGTGAGCATACTTGGTGTGTGTTTGGGCACAAGTATTCAAAAGCATTCCACAATCTCAGATTCTGGTGTTAGCACACATGCAGTCACATGCATCACAAATGAAGGGTCCCTGTTAGACATGTCCGCGCATCTTTTTGTTCCCAGCTTCGCTGCGCCGCAAGCACTCTCCTGGAGATCGTTCCTTAAGCAGGACCGGCCGCCCTACGGCACCCCTCCAAGGTCCGCCCTACAGGCACCGAAGAAAGCAACGAACAAAGGGGGGACCGACACGTGAACTTGTCCTTTCCAAACCCACTGGTCTCATGCACTCACCGACCCCCAACCTTCCGAATCTTCCGAGCCGCAAGAGGCCCACGGCGCATGCCCCGGCGGCGCCCTCCAGCGCTCGAGCCACCGCGAAGCCGTAGGTGGCCGCGCTGCCGCGCGCGCCGCGTGGCCGCTCCAGCGCGAGCGCGAGCGCGTGGCGCCATGGTGTCATGGACGCGATGAGGCGCGAGACCTCCGTCAGCTCCGTGTCCTACAGCGTCAACGGTCAAGCTGGCGAGCGAGCGGAAGCGGGCGAGCGACAGCTCGAGCTAGGCGGCCCAGCTAGGCAAAATGCTCAGAAAAGACCTGGACAAAAAGAAAAACAGACCAAAAGACATCAAAAGAGAATGGACAGTTGACAGTCGTAGGTGACACATCTTGAGGGTGTTTGGTCTCGAACCAGAGGTGAGGTGCGTGGCCCGCCTATATAAAAAAGGCTCCTCAGGTTGTTTTTGGGTGCCTTCTCCGTCTTGATGCAGTGATTGCTGGCTTAGTTCCCCAACATGCAAGCAGCTCAAAATTCAACCTGGGCACAAGGCTGGCGAACTTCCATGACCAAAGACCCTCAAACCTCCTGAATCCGAGGATCGTCCAGGGTCTGGCGATGAAGCTGGAAGAAAAGGCCCAAGCCATCTTGCCACTGGGCAAGCTTCTTGCATGCCCGGATGATTGCGGTGTACGCCACCACATCCTCTGGTTGCCGGACACTGAATTTGGATGAATTTGGGAGTGCAGTGCTATCCAAACTTGCGAGCAGTACATGTAGATCTGAATGTGCTCTTTTGCATGTTTTACATAGGAAGCTGGTATTTCCGAAAGCAAAGACATACAGGTCCGACCCTCACTCTACCCCGTCTTCCTCAACTCTTCGTTGGAACCCCTGGTTCTTCCCCTGAATCCAGGCGTCCGGCTGCAACAGTCTGGAGGCCGACTCAAAGAGCCTCCGAACGCTTTGGTTGCTGCGGCCGCCGCGGTGTTTGCAAAACGGCAGCGTCATGGTGTCACTGTTCTTTACCGTGCTGAGTTATGAAGGATGAAATGGTTCCTACCTGGGAGTCTAGAACTTCCAGTGTGATTGTTACTTTTTAACTCACCTGCTGAGCCGCAGTTGTTCAAGTGACCAAGAAGAAATATATCCCTCTGCTGGTTCAACGCTTCCTGACGCCCGCCTCAACGCCCGCTGCCACTGTGAGGACTTCTCACAGGCACTGATGGTTGCACTGTAGGTGATCGCAGTCGGTGCCAAACCTCAGCTCTACACAGCGAATCAGCATGGATAGCTATATCCAAATTGCCCCAAGAATGCAGCTCTTGAAAGTGACTGCTCGGTACAGAAATTTGCAAAAGGTTCAAATGATTGAATCGCGCTGTTCGAAGGACTCATCTTGACAAGCATTGCAGCAAAAACAGGAATCCAACTCGACAAACTGCTGAAAACTGCAGATGAAGAAACGCTGCATTTGGAGCTCCTTCAAAAGGCTCAAGGCTAGTTGCCATTGCAAGCGCTTGTCGCAAGAACTAATGACAGCATTGTAGGTCACTACCTCGGCATTGTGGTCCCATTAGAAGTACCACAGGCTCTCTTTTCTGGCTGCTTAGGAGGGAATGAATCGTCAGAATGAATCCAAGGCGATCTATCCACAGTGGGGGGGCTCATTCCCTAATTCACTACTAAGCACCTGTCTCTCACCCCCCCAGCCTCCGTTCCCTGGTCCGGTCTACCTTCGACGTCTGCGACACGTTCGTCCCAAGCACATCTGGATGCAAGCGCCGAGTTCGCGCTTGAGCAAAGAGATGCAAAGCCTCCTGCCACAATTCCGCTTTTTCACAGGCACTGATGGCAGAGTTGTAGCTCACCGTCGAAGCTTCAAGGCTGAAAGCCTGACGCAGACCACGGTCGACAGGTGTCACCGGCGGAGGTTCGACACGACGCACGTCGAGCAGCGCGTCGAGCAGGCGCACGTTTCGAGCATCCGGAAGGGGGGGCGGGCGCTGGGCAGGGCGGGGGTGCTGGGCATCTGATGGGCCTAGATCTTCCAGTCCGGTGAAAAGAAGTTTTGGTTCCCAATACTGTAGCTTCTAGCTACTAGTTAGCTACTGGTAGCGTATGGTAGCGTTCTTGCTACCAGTAGGAATCCAATTGTTATTATATAGTAGCTTCTGTTTCCACCCTGCCTCTAAAAGCCGAAAGGAAAGCAAGGCTTCTTGCCATTTCGATTGCAGCCCACAGGCGCTGATGGCCCCATTGAAGCTCATGCGATCCGCCGTCTTGCACTCCAAAAGCCAAATGGCTCGCTGCCAGTCTTTGGCTTCCTGACCCAGCCAAAACCAGAGGGCTTTGGGGGGTCGACTGGATTTCAGCGGTTCATAACTCTTTTATCACAAAGCCAGGGCAAGGCAAGCTTGCCGATTCTTCCTTCCAGTAAAAATTATGATAGATTGAAAATTCGCCAGCACCCCTTGATTCTGCAACTCCAATGACTGTGCCTCTGATGCACTAACTGCGGCACTGCACGTCACACTTGTCGGCTCCAGCTGCTTGCGGTGACACCCTGCGAAAACGAGGACGGCAAATCGCCACTGTCCACCTCGGCTGAAATGAAAATAGATCGGGGACGGGCAACGAGGAAAAGACAAGTACAAACTCCCTGCTGCTGCGTCCTGTGTTTCCTCCCTTTCCTTTCAACACGACGTAACAACAGAACATAACAAACCAAAACCTGGAACCCAACATGACCTGAACGACTGCCATGAACACAAGAACACCTCGCCTTTCCCCAGACCGCTGATCATGACGTTGGCCGTGATGACGTCGCTCTGCAGTCGCAACTGTGGCATCTCCGCCTTCCGGGAAACCCGGCGATGTGGTACACTCCCTGAAATCATCCTGGAAGTGGAAAGTGGCACCTTGCATAACACGTTTCCCAAAAACCAAACAGGTGGTGCCATCCACCTAACCATGTTATGGTGTTCAGGGCATCCATGTTCATTGAGGATCCAATCAGGTATTCTGATGGATTGTTTGCCCCTGCTGGGATCCAATCGCCTATGATATCTGTATCCTCGGTGGGCCTCTGTTGGGAAGTGTCAATCACCGTATACAAAGACTTGATATTCATGCGAGCACCATCCTTCTTTGGTTATGGCACCTGAACTGGAATACAGGAGAAACAAAATCACCTCTCTTGAACCAGTACCGCTAGGTTTTTCGGCACGCAAGGCCCTTTGCCGAAATACGGAAAACCTCTTCACCACCGCTTCGTTTGGACCGAAACGATCGTGGCGAGTACCTGTAGAGCCATGGCCACCGGCCACTGGACATGCTTTTCACAGGCACTCAAGACTGCGTTGCTGCTGGTGGTGCTCAGGCCAAGCTGCTGATTGCACCGCGCACGCGAGAAGATTTGCAAGGCTTCCAGCCACTGGAGGCCTACAGGAAGAAGGAACCTCACAAGCTTCACACCTGGGAGTTGGGGGAAGTTGAGCTTCTTTTCGGCACCATGAGTTAAATGTATCTACATTATACACGTTACAATTAGTGTGTTTCCTCAAAAAAAACACATGGACTTCGCTGTTATCAGGAGTCTGAAAACACACAATGTCTCCACACATGACTCCACACGCCACCATAGGACGGACTGTTCGCCGAAGGCCCGGCCTTTGCCCGCGGAACTCATGGTGGCATTGCACAAAATCACATTCCGCTTCACTGGAGTGTCACGCCAGGACTCCACTTCCTCGAAGGTCTGCAGCGCTGAAGGCCATCGGGAGGATTTCTCACAGGCACTGATGGCAGCGCCAAAAGTAACAACCTGCAGCTGAAGGACTGAGCTCAGGTTGGGTTTCATTGAGTGTGACGAGGATTCTCTGCTAGTCGTTCCCTGCTGGCGATGGACGCGGTCACTCTTGCACTTCCCTGTTGCGAGACTCTTCACCTAGCTACCAAACCTACTTCCTACCTACCTACTGACCGACCGACCAACCCATCCACCCACCTACCTACCTACCTAACCTCCATTTTTGGACACCGAGTGACTGTTGGAGACAGAAGCTTCGAGTCCAGCTGCTTCAGCAAGCTGAAGGCTCTTCGCCAACCACCGCCGGCACCGGCAGCGCTGATGGTGGAGTTGTACAAGATCACGTCCAGGCGCACCCGGTTGGGCTCTGCCTCAATACGGCTTTGCTGGATCGTGTGACAAGGAAGAAGGAATGGTGAAGGAAAGATTTGATCAATTCTAGGGCTACTGAGCCAGGTGGAAACTGCGGAGACTCTGACGTGAACATGGCCATCGAGCCCCTGATTGAAAAGGCACGTGTATATACAGCATATATAATCATATATTTTATATATTGGTTTATCCATATACCCTAGAAGTCCAAAGGCTATTTTGGGGCACCACCCAAGTAAAGGAACTCCTTTTGCGGATCGGCTAAAGACTGTTTAAAAAATATCGAATTGGACTCCCAAGTATATACCTCGACCCAACTGACCCCTGCTTTTATAGGAAAAGGCCATATTTTGGGTGGTTGGTGGTCCAAAATAGAGGTCATTCAGGTTCTATAGGCATATACTATACTATACGGTATACGCGATATTGGATCGTGTGAACTCCCAATCAAAAGCACTACACAAGACAAGGGTTGTTCTGATGGGAAAGTGTCTCACACGGGGCGAGAGAAGATGGCAGTCCAAGAAGAGCGAAGTGATGAGTGATGATTGGTTCTCATGCTCCAGCCCACCAGCGTCCAACCCGGAACTCGCCGTCTTTCCGGCCCCGCGTTCGCCCGCGTTCGCTCGCCGCACCTGCTCGAAGAGCCTGTCGAAGGCCTCCCGCCACGCGGGTGACGGGGTCACCGTTTTGGCCCGGTCGACGTCCATGGGGCGCAACTGTTTGAGCCAGGGCAGGGCTGGAGCCGAAGGAAAGAGGCGGTCAAAGAAGGCGACGGTGACTGTGTATCCAATGTTTTGATGATGATGTCATATGATTTCTATTCAACATGGGACAGTCTGGAAAGCAATGGTACCCTTCTGTCTCCAGCGCGAAACCCGGCTGCAAAGTCTTCAGAGTGTGGTTGCTAGAAATATGCGCAGGCTGGAAAGATTGTTAGTAGTAACTGGAAGGCGATGGCTGTTCTCAAACTCCGGAAAGATTGTTTTCAGCTGTGTGGCGTGTCCAGCGTGTCTGTAGTCGCCACTGTGGCAGAGAAAAGCATCCTGGGCCTTCTACATGTTGTTTAAGAGAGTGTAAGTTTTAAAATGCTCTCTGGCTCAAATGTCTCTGGCTCAGCAGTCGTCGGCTGCAGATGTCTCTCCTTGGCCACGTCTCGATCAACATCACCTGCGCACTGAAAAAACGAAATTCACAACCCCATGCCTGACTTCAAGCGAGGTGGGCAAAGCACCTTTCGGGTCGTTTTGAAGGGATTCGTAGATAGTAGTACAGTAATCCCAAACTGCCTACCACGGGGAAGAGCTTTCACAATTCCAAAAATAACACCAAGTAACCATTCCATGCATTCAAAGGAAACCTTCATCGAAATCTAGCTGTCAGTCATGTGGCCGGTCCTCACTCGAATTCAAAAAATGTGAACCGACTCAACAAGAAGACATAACAAAGACTCGGATTTCTGCGATTTCTGCCCACTCTCTGTTCAGCACCTCTGCCCGATCCTGCAGCTGTTCCAGCAGCTTGGGCCCCAGCGAGGCGCGCGTAAAACGCGCGCCTTCCCGCAGCGCGCGGAGCGCGGCCGCCACACTCAGTGGCGTCAGAGCGTCGGCGGCGGCGGCGGCGCCCAGGAGTGTCAACGTGGCTGGCCAGGCTAAACGTTCACTGGAGACGATGACCTCGGACGGAAAGGATGGAAAGGGTGGAGAAAACTGAAAGACTGAAAGATGAGGATCAGGTAATACGTCGGCTGAGTTGACATGTGTTGCGGTTAGGCAGCTCTGAAATGCCAAAACATGTAGACACTGCTTCAGCCTTTTGCCTTTTTGATGCAGTCTTTTCGTCAAATGGACAACCTAGAGTGGACGAACTGAGAGCATTTGCCCAACAGCCAAGTGGCCGCTTGATAGGTGATCTCGTTGGGCTTTAGTTCGCTCTTCTCTGCTTGTTCCAAGAGGGAAAAAGCCACTTGCCACTGGCCAGCCTGCTGCAGGACGGCTGAATTTCAAGGTTCTCGGAGATGAAACTGTGCCGAAAAAAGTGCGCTCACCATTTCACCATGTTCGTGTTTAAAGCACCAAATCCAAAGCACCAAGAGCAAATCGAAATCTAGCTGACCAAGTATACTTGGCATTGGCCCCCACTTGTATCATTCTGCAGGTCGTCCCCAGTTGGCCTGTTCACAAGCTGTGATGGCGGCATTGTAAATGATCAGATCAGGCTGCATGCGCATCGTCTTCACCTGGACGCACAAACCATCCACCAAGCACCACATGGCCAACCACCAATCAAACGAGTTCCACATGGCGAAGCGATGCCCGGCAACTGTCCAGTCAGGGATTTTCACTCGAGGGCCCCTAGTGCATGCTGCTTCGCCACCCCTTTTCGGTTCTGTGAGCATCCGTGAGATGCATGAGATGAGAAGATCAGCTTACACATCCTGCAAGACCTTTTTGAAAGCAACGGCTTCTGCAACAAACCTCATTCTTGCAGGGTTAACACCCACCAGCTAACCAGTGATAAATTTGATACATCTCCAAGCTGCAAGTCTCTTTCCGCACTCCCTCCGGCCTCGGTCAGCAGGAGGCCTGCCAGCTGCCACTTCCCAGCTTTCTCACAGGCGCTGGCTGTAGCGCTGCAGGAAACCAAGGTGGGCTGAAGCGCGGCTGATCGCAGCAGCGACAAGACATGCAGGGCATGTGGCCACTCCTAGCAGTTCAGCAGTTTGTAGTTCTTCTTCCCATCTGTCCAGGGTGTCACACAAACGAACTCGTTTAAACTTTGACTATCTAAATCTAAGTTTTGGTCGAGGAACCAAAATGATAAGAATACAGGGAGATCAGAACAAGAATAGAGAAAATTGATCTCCTCCAAATACCTGTTTCCAACAAGTTCTGCTCAGTCTTCATGGATGGATTACAAAACGGTTGCATCCCCTCCTTCCCATGCTCCATAGAGATTCTTTTGTAAACACGTATCAGCATCATACAAGGAAGGAACTCGGCATATCCCCTTTGTATAAAGAATTCAGAAGTTGGCAGCAACTCTCACTCTCTCACCAGTCAACCCACTTGGCCAACTCAACCTCTTCACCCGCCACAACCCCATCCGGTCGTCCTCGGCCTTTTCACACGCGCTGATCGCAGCATTGAAGGAGATCACGTCCGGACGTAGCGCAACCCGTCGGAGCGTGGAAGTCGTCAGGAGTTCCAAGGCTGAAAAGGAGAGACAAAGAGTGGTGGAACATGGTGATTTTGGGGGTTGAGACACGAAGTGTGCATCTATTTCACTGTTCTTGTGGATTGTCCAAGCACTATCACGCAATGAACTTGGGTCCTTGCTGTTGCCATCGCAGTTCGACCTTCTAAAGGCCTTTTACAGGTCATATGGAACACACACCACAAATCGACCCCGCCCCAGCTCACCCGAAGCCGGTCACCGTCACCTCCGTGAAGAAACCTCCGGAAGAGGAAGGTCGGGTCAGGTCGTCCCCACTCGCGACCCCCGTCGTTCAGCACCTCGTGGCCATTGGGCGGCTTTTTCGAAGGCGCTGAGCAGTGCGTTGAAGGTGACCAAGTCGGGCGAAGGGCAGTGCCTGGCGTCCACGGCTTGGGTAGGGCTAGGGCCTCCCAATACGGCTGGGGTCGTTTTGGAGTGGCAAAAGGCAAAATGCATGTCATTGAAGGTCACTACATGGTGACCCACCTTCCACATGACCTGCTCTTTGCTCGACTGGCTGTGCACCCGTGCATATATAAGTTGTATTCATGTGAATGTATTTCACAGCATCCCAACAACCAATTGCCATCGACCACCTGTAGCCGAATACAAGTTTCACTGAAGTCACTAAAACTGGAAATAGTTTATCTGCAAGTCTGCTTTAAGCAAGTCATGTTGCACATGCAAGCCTGAACATTCTGAAGTTTTGCGTGTTTCTCATTTCTAGGTCGACCGTGTGGCCCTCGCAAACCGTCGCAGTTCGACCAAGGTGCTCCAGGAGGCCAATCGCATGGCGCCAATTCTCGGCCATGCAACTCATTGCTGCATTGTAGGCTGCCGTGCTGAGTGACTGAGGAGCTTCGGCCAAAAGCTGTAAGCCTCGGATACAGGTGCCGGAGCGCGCCACTTGCGAACCCACAAGAGACTGAAGGTCAAAACGCCCAGGCACGGAGGATCTGTTTTTCACCGAGTCACAGAGTCGCCACTTGCCATGTTGCCGGCAAGCTCCGAAAAGTGAGGTGTAAGTGCTAGGTGTGGGTTGAAGGGTTGCATCTTGAGCCATCTGGAGCAAGAAGATGGCATCTTCCCAGCCCCTGGACAGAGACGAGTCAGGGGAATTAACCCCCCCCACAGTTGGGGATCGTGAATGCTTGCTCGACGGGTGAGTCACTGTGTTCAGAAGCGACCTCGGCGACCCGTTCGACACCTCGACGCCCGACGCAGCCAGCACTGCCGGTGCCGTGCGACGAAGCAATCGCTTGAATCGACTCCGGCCTTCCACTCTTTTGACCCACGTTCATCAAAGCATTGTAGGTGACGATGTCCTTGGGGGGCCAAGGTCAGCATGTTCCAGAAGACATGACGTATATAGGGACGTGTATAAATAGAAGCATGTCAGCCCGAAATGCTGCATGGCTCCGAATTCTGGACTGAAAACGTATTTGAAAGTCCAAGTCTCTGGTTGCAAAGATCTCTTGAGACATTCATTGAAAACCCCCAGAGCCTGAAGCCACTCCCCACCGCAGGCACTGATCGCTGCATTGTACACGATCACCATCGGTCGATGAACCGACTCCTCGGGGTGGGTGGGGGGAAGGTTGCCCATGTGAGGCGGTGGTTGCACCGAAAACCGTCCCAAATCGGTCACGGTTGGGGATCTCTCCCAAAGAACACTCCCTCTTTCATGCGGAACATGGATCTTCCAGGACGACCCAAACCGTCAAGTTCCGTCGCTCCCCTCGCTGCTCCCTCGCGTCGCCACAGCTGCTCCCCAAACCGTCGACAGGGCAAGGCCGACATTGGCGACTCGCACGTCGCCGACCGTCGTCGCCTTGAGAGACACGACTTCTTCCAGCTGGAGCGTCTGATGACACCTGTGCCACCTGTAGGCTTGAAGTCCCCCCTCTTGCCAGGTGTTCTTGACTGCATTCTTCTGTTTTGGCAGTATATATAGGTACTATGTAATCAAGCGTTTGTGATTATGTCTAGGATCCCCTCACCACCTTGACCATGACCTCCCAGGCTTGCCTGTGAGCAAGTAAGACCACGTCTCCCCGTGGGCGACGAGGACCGTTCGGTCGACGTCCGGATCTGTCTGTCGCCTTCGATCTGAGCGAGCCACCTCCGAAAGTCTGACATCCGAGGCTCGAAGTCCTGCAGCAGCTGCAATCCTCGTCTCCACTCAGCTGCTTCGCCACAGGTGCTGATGGCCACGCTGTAACTCGTCATATCCAGACGATGACTGGCCACCAGCAGCAAGGCATACTGCCACTGGGCTGATTGCCTATGACAGGTTCTGAGTGCGAGCTAGAACCCCAGCTATGTCTTGAGCGAGGCTACCTGCTCTATCCTTGGTCCTTGCTAGCCTCAAGCAATACAGGAAGGAGGCTAAGCCAGGATGTGCTACCACTTCTTCCCCCTTATGAAGAAGTATCCACAGAAATGTGAAGAAAGCAAAAGGATTGAACTACACTGTGATTCTCAGTTCAAATGATCAACGCCGGACTCATGACCCTGCCTGAAGGCGTCCAGCAGCGAGCTGCAGGTGATCATTGTAGGGGAGATCTTCTGCGGGAGACTCGACCACAATGCAAGTGCACAAATCCACTGGGCGCCATTCGCGCAGGCATTGATCAAAGAGTTGTAGGTGATAATGTCCGGTTTCAGGAGACGGTCCTACCATGGAAAAAGAACGCCTAGAAACACCAAAGAGATTTCAAAGTGTTACAGCAGTGCTGTCACACAGACAAAGCCCACCTCTCTCCTCCTTTCCAACACGTTGGCTAACTTTATGAAACACTTTGTGAACCCTATTTGCCGTTCAAAATCATTCTATCCAAGCCTTTCAAGCATTTCTTTGGTCTCCTCCAATTTGCTCAGGACCTGCAAGGCCAATTGCCACTCCGAGCCCTTCGCCGCGGCGCTCGCTGCGCTGTTCAGCGCCACCAGCGAGCAAAGCTCCTCGCTGCAAAACTGCGGACACGACAGTTGGAGCAAGTACCAGGCGGCGTGCCAGGCGCTGGCACGTTCACAAGCACTGATGCTTGAGGCCAAGGTGAAGGCATCACCTGCGGTGAAGCAATCAGACGATCAGACGATCAAGTCCCAGGATCTCCAATGAGTTGGCAAGCTGTTTCACCTTCGCATTGAAGGAAAATGAAACGGCTTCGCATTGGGGGAGACAGATTCAACATGCATCCATCTGTGTATAATATATCATATATATGTATATATATATATATATAAAGATTCGGTCACAGGCCCTTCTTTTCCATCTCTCTGCAAGTGCGG